CAATACTTCATGTTTTTCGTGAGCAGACTTTGTTAAGGCTGATTTACGGCGGTTTACCTTTTACAGGCTTGTATAGTGGATAACGAAAATGAAGAGGATCCCACTTTGGAAAGCGTTACCTTCCTTTATAAATTAACTGAAGGTGTCTGTCCAAAATCATATGGATTTTTCGCTGCGAAGGTTTCAGGAATTAAATCAGAGGTAGATGAGTTTTAACACTATATATTCAATTATTTTTAGATGTTGTTGGTCGTAGTTTTGAGAAAATTGTGATAATTTCAGGTAGTAAGGAGAGCATTTGTGGCGTCAAAACAGATTGACGCTCCCAGCAGACTTTCAGCACGGTTAGCTGCATTACGAGCGGTCGCGACCAATTGTGACGTTAACGAGTTAGCAAGAATGGTAGCAGCGCTGTAATGTTTCAGTACGTGAAACGACACTTACCGTATTTTCGCTGCTCCCGTCTGCTTTTGCAGAGTGGATATCACTTTTTAGTCCTGGAAAGTGTTTCCACAGATTTTTTAACTTTTTGTAGTGATAGGCCAGTGGCTCTTCCGGTAGTGAAATACTCCTAACATTTGGTTGAAAAGAGGCTAATTATAATGAAATAAACCTCTTCTAATTAAAGATATTTCTGATGATTTCATTCAGTAGTCTTTTCAACAGGATTGTTATTTAGGCCTGCTGGAAGTCTCGCTTTTTTAAAAGATCTCTTACACCTATATGTATATGGATTAATTCCACATCAGTTAACTCTTCAATTGTTCACCTCTGTCATTAAAGTTTTCACCTCTTACAGCTTTAGAACAAGGAGAAATGTGTTTCTTATCACATTTTTTGAAGTGCTAGTTGCAACTGTCTGTATTTATTAGAAAAATGGTGACGAGACTCATCATAGCTATATGTTTTCTGCCACAAAATTTGCTTTTGGAATTTTTGGTCAAATTGTTATTTATCAAGATCTTTGGTGCTGCAGTAATCACTTGATATTGCCGTTTACTTTTGTAATTGTCGGATAATCAAAATGTTGTTACATTATCCTTTTAACACTACTACCAAGTTTTTTCTACAATTTTAAAATGTTTCGTGTTTTTGGCAGTTATTTTTTTTTTACATCTTTTTTCCTCAAACAGTTGATACTAAAGAAGTACCAACTTTGATCGGTAGATAAGATTTCTTAGAGCGGTTGCTTGATTTCTTTAAGGAGGAAGCTTGAAGGTTTATTTGCAGATCATGGCTTGTATTCTGCTCTTCTTTCAAGTCTGGTGTTGAGGTTGATATGAAACAGAGTTGTCTGGTTGCTATTAATTATCTGATATTTCCGGATGGAATTTGTGGCAGGGCTAAGATTAAGAAAAGTGTCGTAACTGCAGTTATCGTAAAACTGTTATCCAGTGGTGGTTTCGGCGGAAATCTACAAATACTTACGGGTTTCTAGTGGTTGATTGATTATCGTTTCTGGGTTAGACGTGTTCACTGTGGTAGTTAGAACCGCATTATTTTTATTTCTAAGATGTTTAGCCAGCGCAGTTACAGTTTACTTTGGTGGTGGTCTGAGGATTCATCTTGCATTTACTATTTCAATTTCAAAAGTATGATGTTCTTAGGTTCACACTTTTGATTGTTTTATAACTCCTTGCATCTCAGAGTCTCCTGCAAAAGAACTGACGCGTAACAATTCATAGTGGCGAAGGTGGTAGGATTTTTTAGTTAGATCGGTTAATAGAACTCTCCAAGGTAAATTTGGAAATGGTGAAACAAGTTGATTTTGATGGAAAGATATGCTTCTTTGCTAAAAGAACTTGAGGAGACGGTTGTCTATGTAGTTTCAGCTTTAAGAGGAACACTTACGTTACATACGCCATTTTTTAGGCGTTCCAGTAAATTGTCGATTAAGGCAGTGACCATCTCTGCTAAACTCTCACATCCAACGGCCTAGAAGTTGATTTTCTTAGTAAATTTTTTTTTTGTTTTTCATCTTTCTACTTTATCTTCTTGCGTTGTCGTTATTGAACAGTATTGAATAAATAATTGGGCTAGGAAGAACAATAAGATTAGAAATAAAATTCTTTTTTCTCTGATTTTGCTGCAAAACTTCTAACAGTGTCAGCGAGGTGTTTTTGACATGTCTCAGATACGGCATCAGTAATATCTTTTCGTATTTCGCGTCCCATTTCGGTCTCGGTGGATGTTGTCTAAAACTGGTAACTTTAATTATCTACTTTACTAACGTAATGGTTATCTTAATGCTACCAAAAAGTAGTTAGATTTGAAGAGTATTTAACTTGATTAAGAAAATTTTTCATTAGAGTGTTCTTTTGCAAGGTTCAGTAAGAGATTTTGAACTTTGCTGAGTAACAGAAGTTATATTTTTACGTATAAACATAAGAAAAGCTAATGATTCAGTTTGTTTATTTTAGTGCTTCTTTACATCTTTGTTCTTCAATTGCCGTTATAATATTTACTTAAGTGATGAATTACTCATACAGAAGCTACTACTACTACTACTACTACTACTACT